GGAGGCAGAGGCAGGCAGATCTGTGAGTTTACACTCACAGGCTGGTTTACAAAGGGATATCCAGGACAGCCAGGCCTATTACACAGAGAAACTCTGTCATGAAAAACAAGAAAACAAACAAACAAACAACAAAGAAAACAGTTGCTCTTTGACTTTTTCAGGGCACCTCACCCATCCTCTTTCTCTGTTCTGTGCTCTCCATTGTCTCTCTGTCCCCCTCTCTCTCTTTCTCTCTGTGCCCTCATGGCTCAAAACATCCTGTACAAAAAAAGAAAGCAGTTTAAGTAGATTACAGCTATGCTGGCCAATTGTCTGCAAAGCTCTGAAGTCTCTGTGATCCTAAGATTACAAACAGTAGGGTCAATGCTTTCTGACACAGAGAAGCTACGATCTAATAGTCGGTGGGGAGTGAGCATGTCTACCATAAACCAGGATATTAAAACTAGAAAAGGTTGTGTAGAGGCAGACAATTCTGGTACATGAAGGGAATGCTCAGCTTGTGTTGTACTTTGCAGTAAGGACCTCAGCAGGGAATGGAGGGAAAGGCTGATGCGAAGAGACAGAAGTTCCCTGTGGTAGGACTAGAGCCAGGGCCTCACACATCCTACAGAGACAAATGCCTTACATATGACTGAGTTCCACCCCCAGCCCCCAATTTTTCTTTAACAGAATTAGAAGAAAACAAAACATCACATTATTTACTATTAATTGACCACTCATATAAACCTGAAATAGCCTAACTTTCCTCTTTATATTTTATGCCAAAATTAACTTTTCCTTAATAAGTTTGCTGATAGTTGAATGGCATTTGCTACTTTTAAATGATAAAGGCATGGCAATAAGAAAGCTTTAAGTCATACTTTATTTTAAACTTTATTATTATTGTGTGTTTACTTAGTGTGTGGCAGTCAATTTTCAGAGATTGCTCCCTCCTCCCACCTGGAGGAGTGATAAGATTGTAGATGTGTACTACCATTTGGCTTTCTTTCATTTTCTTCCTTCCTTTTTTTTTCTCTGTGTAACCTTGGCTGTCCTGAACTTGAAGAGATCTGCTTGCCTCTGCCTCCCTAAGCGCTAGGACAACAGGTGTGCGCCACCATGCCCGTCTTCCATTTGAGCTTTTAAAATATTTTATTTACTACTATTTTCCTCTGTGTGTACATACATATGATTTTGCAAGTGGAAGTCAGAAAACAAATCTGTAGAGTTGGTTTCTCCTTCCACCTTTACATGGGTTCCATGGATCTAACTCGGGTCATCAGGCTTGCATACCAAGTATCTAACCATACTTTACCTTTTGAGTTATAGCAATAATCTTGTACTGGCTTTTTTGTTTGTTTGTTTGGTTGGTTGGGATTTTTTGTTTGTTTGAGATAGGGTTTCTCTGTGTAACAGCCCTGGCTGTCCTGGAACCTGGAATTCCTTCTGTAGACTAGGATGACCTCCTGGGATTAAAGGTATACACTACCACAACCTGTTTTGTTTTTGTTTTTTACCAGCTTTTTTATGTGATTTTCAGGGAATGAATTCAGTTCATCAGGCTTGCTGAGCCTTTTCCTGTTGAGCCAACCTGCTAACCCATGGCTGACTTTTAATCAAAACTGAAAAACAACTGATTTTGTAATTAGTCATTAGTAATTGTAGTAATGACCACGAGCTCCAAAAATGTATGAATAAAGAAGGAGTGCTGCAGCCATAGTGGTAGACACTCACAGCGGTACACACAATAGCCCAGCACTGGGAAGGCTGAGACAATAGCAGCCTCAGCTATATAGGAGACTTTGCCTCAGAAAACGAAGGAGAAGCAGCAGGAAGGAGGAGGGGAAGGAGGCAGGCTAACTCAGTATTACTGTGAATATACTGAATATATAGTTACAGAAGCAACTTCTAAATATGAATTTTTCTAGGCTCTGAATGCTGAATAAACATGATCATACTCATTAGGAGTAATGGTGAGTTTAGAGAATATCACCACAATGTACCTAAGTATGGAAACTGATATTTTGTTGTTGTTGTTTTTTTGAGACAGGATTTCTCTGTGTAGCCTTGGCTTTCCTGGATTCAGTCTGTAGACCAGGCTGGCCCCGAACTCACATGGATCTGCCTGTCTTTGCCTCCCAGAATGCTGGGATTACCAGGCCTGGCCAGAAAACTGATTTCTAATTGCAGGCTCAGAATGGGAATGACTGGACTAGAAAGGAACCTAAGACTATTGAAATCTCATTCTCTTATAGTCTCCCATCAGCAGTAACAGTGTCTTGGGAACCTGTTAGAACAGCAGTTTCTCTAGTGTTACTCTGGGGTTTAGGTAAATTTGTGTTGTAACAAGCCATTGGTAATTGGTTTAATCCATACTTCTGCTGTAAGATTAGAATGACAATGCTCCACAGTCTAGCTGCAATTACTAAAGCTTAGAAGCAGGGTGTGGTAGCACAGGCTTTAAGGAGGGAGAGGCCAGCCTGGTCTATATTAGGGAGTTCCAGAACAGACAGAGCTACATAGAGAGAACCTGTCTTAAATCAAAATAGAAAAATAATGAAGCAGTGGCCTTTTTCCGAAAAGACCCATTCAGTTCTCTTTCTCTCTGCCTCTCTCTAGGATCTCACTATATAGACCAGGCTGGCCTTGATCTCACAGAGACCTGCTTGCCTCTGCCTTCCCAGTGCTAGAATTAAAGGCATACCACCACACCCAGCTTAAATTATTTAAAAATGATAACACTTTCTAGTTTCCCATTCCACATGTATTAATTTTCCATGTTTTTGTTTTGAGGTAAAGTTTTAATGTACAGCCCTGGCTGGCCTGGAACTCTTTGTGTAGACCAGGCTTTTCTCAAGCTCACAGAGATCAGCATGCCTTCCAAGTACTAGGATTACAGGTATGAGCCACCACAGTATTGTACCACTAATTTGGTTAACTTCCCACAAATTTATCACGGCACAGTTCTGCAAGGTCAGAAGACAACACCCATCTCACGGGGCTAAACCCAAGGCTCTAAGTTCCTCTTTCTCTAGGATCAGTTTCTTCACCTTTGCCATCCTGAGAGGCCACCTTTATCCCTTGACTCCTGGTTCCCTCCTCCGAAGGCCAGCAAGTGTGTATCTTTTAAACAAGAGGCACACTTTCTTCATATTTTGTAGTTAAGGCCAAGCATCCCACATCTACCTATTTATCTACATGCCTCAGCATTCTACTGAGTCATTAACACAGACAATGTCATTCAAAGACTGTCCCCACAGGATCATGTTTCCATAGGCAATAAAAATACGAACTGTAATACATTACATTCATTATGTTACTTTTATGAACTCAGGGTAGATTACCGGTGGCACTATAGTAAAAGACATTGTGGTTTTTGTTTGTTTTTGTTTTGAGGCAAAGCTTCACTGTGTAGCCTTGGCTTCACATCTCCCTTTTTATGCCAGGGTAGCCTTAAACTCATGGAGATCTGCCTTCTCATCCTTCCAAGCACTAGGATTAGAGGTGTGAACCACCACACTGAGATAAGGTACAAAGTTACAAAAAAATTTTTCTATGTGAGTTTTTGTTTAATTAATAGCCGAATTGGGAGGTAAGTGCTCAAAGATTGTACTCAACAAGTACATCTGAATCATTTTAATTGCTACTGAGTTTTCACTGATATACAGTATAAATTTTTATTTTTGAAAGATGGATACTGAGATTTAAGGAACAAGCGAGGCAGAGTGTAACGGTGCATGCCTGTAATCTCAGCACTTGGTATGTTGACTCAGGAGGATCAGAAATTTAAGGCCATTTTTGGCTACAAGTCGAATTCAAGGGCGGCCTGGGATTCCCCAGATACTACAAACCTTGTCTCAAGAAAACAAAACTTGATGTGTCACACACTTTTTCTCCCATCACCTGGGAGGCTGAGGCAGAGGGTGGCAGATCTCTGTGAGTTTGAAGCCAGCCTGGTCTACACAGCAAATTCCAGGCCAGCCAGGTGGATAGAGTGAAACCCCCACCTGCAAATTAGGAGGTAGAGGGCTGGACAAATTAGGAGGTAGAGGGCTCAGAAATTTGGTTCCAAGCGCCCATAGGGCAGTCACAACTGTCTCAACTCCAGTTCCAGAAGTTTCGGGGTACCCCCTCTTCTGGCCTCTGCAGGAACTGCAGGCAGCAGAGTGCACAAATAGATCTATGTATATATTATATAACATATAGTATATTATACATCTATTATTAGCAGATCACACACCTAAGTGACTTGTATTTCGGTAAGTTTTTTTTTTTTTTTCATTTTCTGCATTTTCCTTTTTTTTTATATGTAAACCAGGCTGGCCTCCAACTGACAGAGATTCACCTGCCTGTCCCCGTGGGCTAGGATTAAAAGCCTACACCACTAAGCCCAGCTTATAAGAAGAGAAAAAAAGACCTCGAATTGTGTCGTCGTCTGAACCATCGTCTGGTCTGGAGGAGTCTAGTTATCATGCACCTTAATGACAAAGGTCTTCTCCCATACACACTGAAGATGGAAGCGAACACGGGTTATTTTCCAACGTAGCACTACCCTGCCTCGTTGCATCTTTTCTTCCCCTGGCACGCGTTTAAAACCAAGAACTTGGGGCGCCCCCTTTAGCATTTGTGGGGCCCCAGGAGCCCCGGCTGCGCTCCCCGGCTGGGTCTGCCACGGGGCCTTCTGAGGATGGCATTTCTGCCCGCGCCCCGCCTAGGCCGTGCGGACCAGGCCACGCAGGGCCCCGGGGCCCGAAAGCCCCCCACCCCGGCTCCGGCCCTGCTCGGATGGCTCCGCGGCGTGTGTGTGGTGTGCGTGTGGCGGGGGGAGCCGGGACCTGAAGGAAGAGGCTCGGGGCGGCGGCGGGGCGGGCCCGGAGCCCCCTGGGGGAGGAGCGGCGGCGGGGCTGCTGTGGCGACCGACGCGCGGCGGCGGCGGAGACCCACCCCCGTCCACATGGACAAGTCGCCGAGGCCTGGGCTGATGCTCTGACGCCTGGGCGGGGTGGGCGGGCGAGCGAGCGGCGGCGGCGGCAGCGGCAGCGGCGAGGGGCCGCGGGCGCCTGACGGTCGGCGGAGCCCTCGCTGCGGCCATCTTTCCGGCCCGGGCCGCGGGGAGGCGTGGGAGCGCCCTCGCCTCCTCCTCCGTCCTCCGCGGGGCACCGGCGGCGGAGCGGCGGGGCTTCCAGCGGGGGCCGGTGGATGGGGAGTGGCGCGCCGAGCGGAGCCGGGCTCGGGGAGGAGCGGCGCCGTCGCCTCTCTCGGTTCCCGGTCGGAGCGTGAGGGGAGGGGAGCCCAGGCCGCGCGGGCCCCCTCGCCGCTTCCCGTCAGCCCCGCGCCAGGCCCGGGCGCGCGCCGCCTCGCTTTTGTGTGGAGGCCCGGCCGGCGGGGAGCGCCGTTCGCGGACGGCCGAGCCCGAGGCCCGCCACCCTGCGGCTGCTACCCTCCCGCCGCGCGGCCCCTGTTCCCCGCGAGCACCGCGGCGGTGCCGGCCATGGAGTAAGGAGGAGGCGGCGTGGGAGGAGGAAGATGGCGGCGGGCAAGAGCGGTGGCAGCGCCGGGGAGGTTACTTTTCTGGAAGGTACGTTCGTGTGTGTCTGTGTGTGTGTGTGTGTGTGTCTGTGTGTCTCCCTCCCCCCCCCCAGCCGCCAACCCCCACTCCCGGGGCGGGCAGCGGGGGGGGGGGGGAGGCCCGCCCCACCGGGGTCCTCATCTGTGTGCGCCGGCCGGGCCTGGGGCCGCGGGGGTCCGGACGGCCGATGGCGGGCGGGCCGGGAACGCGCTGCGGGCGCGCCGACTTCGGGCCGCCCGGGGAAAGAAAGGCTCGGGCAGGGCCGGCGCGAGGCGGCGCGGTGGCAGCCGCAGAGCGAGCCGAGGCCCGGGGGACGGCCTGCGGTGTTGGAGGGACAGGCCGAAGGGCTTGGGCTGGCCCCCCGCCTCTACGTCGTCCCTGGGTGACTTGGTGGGTGCGGGCGGACCGCGTTCGGGGCTTGCTCAGCGTTTCGTGGAAAGTTTTCAGACCGCTGAGCTGGGTTGGAATTGGCCGAGCCGAGGAGGCAAGGGGGAGAGGTAGTTGTTTTCACGGCCTTTTGGTTAAAAAGAAAAATAAAAAAGCTCCTAGGCTGCTCCGCTGCCACTGGGGTGCAGGTTAGGCCCGGCTGTGCCTGCTCCTCCAAAATGAGATGTGTTTGGTTATATACTTTTTGTATAAAAAGCAATTTCTATGAACAGAAAAATGAGCTTTGCGGTGCCAGTTTGGGGTAAGCCAGGAAAGCTGAAAGAGTGAGGGTGTTTCCATTTTTAGTCGCTGGTGAAGCAGAGTTAACTATTTCAGTTGGTGGACTGAGCCAGCTTAGAAAGGTATGTTTTGGTTTGGGGTCGTGGTGAATGGGTATCGGTACTGGCTTTTGCCTGTGTCGGTGTAGGGACCTCCACAGTTCAGCTACGTTTGATTGCAATTATGGCCCGGGAACATGAACGTTCACACGACTTTGTCTGGTAATCGAGTTTATAAATATGTTTAGGAAAATGAGTCTGCTTTCAGTGCTTGTTAATAACCACTCTTCGGGGGTAATTTGCAGCCCCCCCCCCGATTAAATATATCTAGGCCATGCTTTAGAAGATGATTTAGAGACATTACTGAATTAAGAAGACATAGCTCAAGAAAGAACCTTAGTGGTTACGAGTTCTATAGGAGGGTGGCTTATGCCTTGTTGACTCCTTAGCAGGGTGGGTACTCCGTCTAATGAATGGAGACTAAGAGAAGAGGAAAAGTAATTTTCTTTATTATTCTCTGTGCTTGAGGATACAGAGGGAGGCGGAAGCTTACCTTGCTTTGCAAGTCTGTGTACGAAGTGATGAGAGCTTTCTATGATTTCCCTCACAAGATAAAGAAAGCTCGTGCGGTTTCCTGACTTAATCAGTAGGTAACCTGCCAACGGGCCACTGGAGGAGTAGTAGTTCCTAGGGCAGGTTCCTATGCGTGTTGTTTTTTGTTTGGAAATTCACCAGATGGCTTTCAGATGTTCGTTTTCACCAGGCATGATTATACTTGTAGGTTTTTGTAAATTTGGGGCTTCTATGGGCTTCTAATTCTGTTTAAATTCTGAGTGGATAACACAGTATAAAACCAGCACAAAGCCATCACTAACATAGGTAATTGTCCATTTGTCCATTGCTTTAAGTTTAATCTAACTTAAGTGTTTGTAGAGGTATAGATATGAAAGTTTGAGTTTCACCTTGTCTTGTTCAGTAGGTTTTTGTTTATTCTTTTTAATTTGAGACAGGATCACATTATGTAGACCAGGCAAGCCTTGAACTTCTAGAAATCCTTTTGTCTCAGGTTCTCAAACATTAGGATTACCAATCTGAGGGTTTTAGGATTACTTTTTTTTTTTTTTTTTTTTTTGAGGACAGGGTTTCTCCATGTAACCTTTGCTGCCCTGGATTTGCTTTGTAGACCAGGCTGGCCTCGAACTCACAAGAGACCCGCCTGCCTTTGCCTCCCTGAGTGCTGGAATTACAGGCATGTGCTACTGTGCCCGGCTGGATTTACTATTTTAAAAATATTTTTAAAAGGTGTTTATTTTCTGTGTGTATGGGTCTTTGCCTGCATGTATGTGCAACATGTACAAGCCTGGTGACCACAAAGTTAAAAGAGGGCATCCAGTCACCTGGAACTGGAATAAAGAATGATTGTGAGACACAGTTTAGGTACAGGCAACAGAGCTTGGGTCCTCTACCAGAGCAGCAAGTGGTCTTAACTTATGAGCCATCTCTCCAGCCCCTAGTTTTAATATTGTAAAGGTCCCTATATTACACTTTGGTTTTCCCTGGCAGTATTTTTGAAAAATGGAAGTAGGTTTTTCTTAGCTCATCAAATATTTTTAGTAGCCTAGTCTGCTTGGTTGGAATAAAACAGAAAATGAAATACTTAAACTCACAACCTTCGTGAATGTTTATTTTAGTGGGAGAGACTACCAACAAGTTTAAAAAAAAAAAAAAAGCATCAGAGTATTATGCTTAATCAGTTTACTGAGATTTGCCCAAACTTGACAACTGTTTATAATGTGCTGGTGCCACTTGGGGTCATGAATCTGCATACAGGTACATGGAATACTGTCCTATTTTTCTTATCGATTTATCAAATGATTTCTGCTTTTCAGACCTGTGGAAATAAAAGCTCTAGGGAAGCAATTCCTTTGTAGTTTTAATGTCATATTCTTATACACGGAACACATTTGCTGTTCATGGATAAACTAGGTCATTACAATATGATAAAAGGCTGTAGAAGAAAAATGTAATGGTCGAAAATTTATTTTATAGTTTTCAAGTTAAGAAAGGTGTCCTTCCCAGCCAGTGGTAGCACATGCCTTTAATCCCAGCACCCAGGAGCCAGAGGCAGGCAGATCTTTGAGTTCCAGAGAGCCTGGTTTTCTAAGTGAGTTAAGAAAGATGTCCTTGCCCAGTAGTGGTTGTTGGCACACGCCTTTTATCCCTGCACTCAGGAGGCAGAGGCAGGCAGATCTCTGGAGCCAGCCTGGCCTACACAGAGATTTCCAGGATGGAAAACCTGTCTCAAAAAAAAAAAAAACAAAAAGAAGGGCTGGAGAGCTGGCTCAGCAATTAAGAGCACTGGCTCCTCTTCCAGAGTCCTGAGTTCAATCCCAGCAACCACATGGTGGCTCATAACAATCTACAGTGAAATATGGTGCCCTCTTCCAATGCACAGGCACACATGGAGGCAGAATGTTGTGTAAATAATGAATAAATAAATCTTGAAAAGAAAAGAAAGGTGTCCTTATCCTTAAAGAAATGATGCTGAGTAAACACCTTAATCATGAGGTACTCAAAGGAGATGATGCATATAAGGATTTAGAGGTGGTACGTGATTTCACTGCTTAAAATAAAGCAAGCAAAGAACAGAGTGTAGAAGCTCTTTGGTCTAGGATTGTAATTATGTCTCATTCCCAGCTGTAGGAAGCCACTAAATTGAGGCAAAAAAGTATTCAGATATAATTTATACATCCGTGTTCTGTAGTACTTGCTCAGTATTATGCTTGCCTAGCCTGCATAAAGCTTTGGGTTTGATCCTTAGCAAGGTATAAAACAGGGTGGTGAATGCTTGTAATCCCTGTACAAGGGAGGTAGACATGGGCTACTCAAAAGTTCAAGGTCATTCCTGTGGGATACATTAAGCTGTCTTTTTTATTTTAGGTCACTTTTGGTTTCCCTGTCTGCAATAAATTAACAGAAGTGTAGGAATGAAAGGGAGATGAATTCAAAACAAAACATTGTAGCAATCTTCATAGAAGTAAGCCTGGCTTGGAAATTGGAAAAGGAGAGTCAGTAAGTTGGAGATGGTTTGGTCTAGAGTTTATAGATTTCTTCATAAGGTTAGGGAAGACTTTAAGATCATTCTTTGAGGTTTAGCACGAGGTACTGGGAACTAATGCCATTTATTGAGACTGAGTAGACTGAGAAGGAAGTTAATGCTCTGCTGGGTCCCAAGTGTCAAATGAATGTTTGATATCTTTGTTCTAGAATATGTTTTAGCTGTTAAGAGGTTATCTAATTGTGTTCTTTTGTGACTTCTCTAGAAAGTGGCTCCTACTTATTGGACCCTCTGTATTTTATTTGTGTTGAATTATCTTTTTTTTTTTTTTTCTCGTCGTTGACTGTTTCTTTTACATCTGTTCATATACTGATGTCATGCAGCCCTTTTTCACTTGTGATAATTTTGGCAGGTTTCTCTGTTCATTCAGTGAGTATTTCAGAATGGTTTTGAGCCGGGTGCAGTGGCACATGCCTGTAAGCCCAGCACTCAGGGAGGCAGAGGCATCAGATCTCTGTGATTTTGAGGCTAACCTGGTCTACAAAGCGAGTCCAGGACAGCTAAGGCTACACAGCGAAACCCTGTCTCAAAAGAAACCAAAAAAAGAGAGAGAGAGAGAGAGAGAGAAAAGAAATGACAATTTCTGTTGTTAGTCACTACTTAAAAGCACATGGCAGTTTCTTGGATCTCGTGAATAGTAAGGAGACTAAATAATCATGATCACACTTAGAAAATTACAACTGTCAGGTACAACAAAGGAGTTATTTACAATAAGAATTTTATCTATCAGAGCTTTGAAGGATGAATAGGAGAAGTGGTGGAGAGAGAGTGCTTTTCAGGCAGAGAAGGAACGTGCATGTTTGAGGGAATGAAAACAGTACCAGCAAGAATGGTGCAAGGAGAGGCTGAATGTGACATCATCTAATATAGTTCCGAAAAGCTCTTTGACTCTTATGTGAAGACAGCTGTAGAGGGATGGAAGACCATTAGGGGAATCAGTTGGGAGATGATTGCTGTCTTTGGGCAATTATAGTCTGCTGCCCCTTTGATATTCTCTCTTCTCTCTCAACTGTGGAGCCCTAACAAGTCTGCTTTCTTTCACATTTATTTATGTATTGTGGTTACTTTTATCTCGTTTGCTTTCTCTTTACCCTTTGCTGTCATCTGAATTGCTTTCCCTACTACTTTTCCCCATTTAGTGTGTGGTGTGTGTGTATGTGAGAGAGACAGAGAGAATGCAAGCAGGC